TACCCTACTCAAATTACAGAGGTTTTGACTCCTGTGGTTCGTAAGGACTGTCATTGGAGTAATGATTTTCCCATTATTATCCCTAATCCGAATCAGAGAATTACTTCCTATTTAATGGGGTTCTCTTTTGTTTACACTTACCTTTTTACTTTAGGGTTTAGACCAGCAATTGACCCAGTCATTCTTGAATTTTGCCGTTTCTTCAATGTCTGTTGGGGTCAAATTGGCCCAATCGTATAGAGGGCAGTTGCCTGTTTAAGGCATTTAGCCACTAGAGCTGAAGCTCCTTTTACTTTCCCTCACTTGATTCATCTTTACTCATCTAGGCTTTTTTGTAATGGTGTTTTTACACTAGTAGCCAGGAGCAAGAGGGTTTTGGTGAGCCTTGAAGATGACAAGGATCGTGGCTGGTATGCCCGATTTGTTGCTGCCCCCACTGTTGGTTTAGCGGGTGAAGATAATGTTCCCTTCCCTGAGAAGTGGAATTTTGCACGTAGGTCTTTTTTCCCTCTTGTACCTTCTTCTTTCAAATTTATCAGCTTTACTAATTTTACCCCCCCCCCCTTGTTTTTCTTTTTAGCAACCATGGGAGTTGTGGGGGATGCTCCCAATTTCCGTGGTTAGGTAGATAAATTGCTGAAGATCGCGCCAATGGACGGTAGATCTTGGAAAACACTTTCTAACCGCTTTGGTTGGAAGGTTAAGACTCACTGTAAGAGTTCACATTTTTTTTTTATTTCTCCGTGCCTATACTCTCCTTTATTGTTTTAACTTTTATCCTTCTTTTTGTCAGGATTTGCTTTTCGAGGGGTTATTGCGGAAGCAGTTGCAGCCTCTCGTATCTCTTCGGGGACCCGTACTCCTTCAGAAACCCGTATCTTTCTAGAGAGAGCCCAAGAAATAATCTTGGGTTCCTCTTCTGCGAAAAGGAAGGCTGCTGAAGAGGAAAATTCTGAAGAAGAGGAAAATGAGAGTCTGTTGGTAACGAGGCCACGAGTTAGGAGACGCATTGTTTCCGATGACGAAGCTGAAGTCTCGGTTTCTTTTACCGAACATGTTGAAACCCCAATAATAATTCTTGATGATGACGTCACTCCCTACGATACTCGTGAGTTTATCGACCAACTTTTTGTCAGTGGATTTGGTCGTGAAGATGTCGGGCCTGTTTTAGACGAAGTACCTTTATCATCTTTTTCTTTACCCGTGCCTGTGATTCCTTCTTTACCGGCCCCAGCTATTTTCGTTCTTTCTTCTACTGCTCTTACCTCTTCTCCAGCTCCTCCTTTGGCTATTCCCCCCTATAGTTCATCATACTGAAACGGGCTCTTCAAGTAAGAGTGCCGCTATGAGGCGGGTAATTATTGAAATTCCTGCTGAGAATAGCCTTTTGAGAAAATCAGGTCAGGCGGATATATGGTTAGAGCCTCTTATTGGCCCAATTGAAAAAGCAAAGCTGGAAAGCCACAGTTCCTTGACTTTAATGAATGATATCGTGCATGTCTGAAGGTATTTTCCTTCTCTCCCTTTTTTACTTTGCAAAATTTTTCATCTTTGAGATTCTTATTTCTTCTCTTTTCTTTTTTAGGCTAATCTCATCGGCACAGAGTTAATGAAAAGAATTGCTCCTTTGGAGAAGATAGAACGCGACTCTCAATTGGAAGCAACCAATTGGAAGGGGCAATTTGAGAGTGCTCAGCTTGACATAAAGAGCTTGCAAGAGAACAAGAATACCTTAGAGCAACGAGTACGGGCCTTAACCTCAGAATTGGCGGTTACAAAAGCTTTTTCACACCAAGCAGAGAAAGACAAAGAGCGTCTCGAGTCCTCCTTCTTAGAGCAGCTATCTAAAACTAGTGAAGAGATCAGAGAATTAAAGGCTCTTTTAAATCAAAAGGAAGTTTACTCTGGGGAGCTTATGCAAAATTTGACTCAAGCACAAGAAGACCTCAGAATATCTGCTGATAAGGTGCATGCTTTAGAATGCTCCCACGCCTCTCTTCAAGCTTCCTACAGCTCCGCCTTGGCTGAAAATGAAGAGCTAAAAAATGAGATCACTGCTTTTTTGAATTATAAGGTCCTTGAAGAAATATCTGCTGTTGAGGCAAGTTGGGCTTTTTTGAATTCCCGTCGTGATACCCTACTTGAAGCTGGCCAAGAAAACTTCAACCTGGAGTTAGAGTTAGCTAAAATCAACGAAACCATTGAAAAGGCTCAACA